ACGATCACATGATCTCCATAATAGTCGGATTGATAATAATGGTCACATGGATTTAAATTAAATGGTCGAATGGTAATAATGATCACATGTTACTATGTTCATATGATCTCATAGTCACATAGTCAAAAATGGTAATAATGGTCACATGGTCACTGTGTCCAGAATAGTCGAATTGATCTGCATTTTGTATTTATATTTTCTACAACTATTATAGACAGACGAGATGAGAGATCGACAATTGTATATTTTCTGTATGATGGTAAATGGATAATGAATAAGAATAGAGAATATGAACGAGAAGAAAAGGTGATGAAAACCAAAGAGTGTTGGAAGTTACTAGATCCAGCTGTAATTGGAAGTTGCGTACGACATTGATATTAAACTCGAAACGTTGGAGTGTAAGAAAATACAATCTCATGCATAGTTGCAAACTCGTATCAGAATTTAACAAAGTTATGAAGGGTACAAAGAAATTGGAAGACAAATAAAAAAATGAGAGACCTAAACAAAACCGCTTTTCAGGTCCTAGTGAAGTCCAAAAGCGGATCTATGTCACAATAAGAGTATCAACATCAACAAAGTTTGAGAGAAACCCTAATTTTGAATGAATAAAGAAATATAAATTGTATAATAATGTTATATTATATTTGTACACTAAAACATTAAGATATTTGTAAAATAATGTATTAAAATAATGCGTTATAATACTTTGGTTCTATTCTACAAATTAAAAAAACAGTAAATAATTTAACTCATATGAGTAGTGGTTGGGTCCCATGTGACCAGCATGTGACCAATGTGACCAATGTGCAATTTTACACTATGTGACCATTGTGACCGGATGTGACCTGTGACCAAGTGACGAAGGTAAATACAGGTGAAAACATAATTTTCAAGCTTTGGTATGTTATTATAAGGTATAAGGAACATAAATATTATGTTGATGACAAAATTACAAAACATTAAAACGAGTTTGTAATATAAAAAGACCAAAATTGTCAAAAATCTTCATAAAAGACTATGAACACTAATGTATCACACTTGTGAGAACTACTTTTGCACACAAAATTCGAATAACTCAATTATTATAGTTAAATATAGTTCACAATGGTGCATAAGGAAGATGTGATGACATTCAGATCGATTCATTTGAAAGAATCCACTAAATCGACCCTTGTGACCAACTGTGACCAACTGTGACCCATTGTGACCGAAATACTGTGGGTCCCAGTTTGAACATGCAATATTTTTTGTGGGGCCCATTGTAATCCAAGTGTACAAAAAAGTTATGGTTAACGTGGAATCCAACATTTTCAATCCATATTTTTTAGCATCCAATATTTTTTGGCCCAAATTTTTTTCCCTCCAAAATTTTCCAACCCAAAATTTTTTCCCTCCAAAATTTTTCAACCTAAAATTTTTACATTTCAATAGTTTTCACCCCATGTGTTCAGATATAAAATAAACATAAAATATTATATCATAACACAAAATTCTGTAGATTTATAATAAACAAACAAAAGGTCATAACAAAAAGAAATAAGTACATAACATAAATAAGTTCTTGATTCTACTTCTGAACACTTCCATTAACAAATATGGCGGCTGTCAACTGCTCACACATCTTGGTGACATTGTCATCACATATAGTTGTTGTTCTTCTTAACCTTGTCCTTGTTCTTGTTCTTTTTCTGCTCGCTCGTCTTCTACTTATTCCTCATCTATCAAACTTTTTCCCTTCTTCTTAGAAAACTTTCTCGAACGAATTTTCAAGTCATGAACTCGACGACGTCAATTCCTCCAAATAAAAAAAAGTGTTTCTTCAAACGTTTCTTTATTTATCATACTCTTAATTTTCTGAAAATAGATGTGACTTTATGTTATTATATTCAATCAAGTGACCATGACACCAACAGACTATGTGATCATGTCATCAAGACACCATGTGACCATGTGAATATGGTACCATGTGACCATATGAACATGGTACCATGTCAATATGGTACCATGTGACCATGCCAATATGGTACCATGTGACCATGTGAACATGGTACCATGTGACCATGTGAACATGGTACCATGTGACAATGCCAATATGGTACCATGTGACCATGCGAACATGATACCATGTGACCATAAAACCTATGACAAAGTGACCATGCGTGAGCTAAATCATCCTATAAACTGTGATATTTTCACTTTGTGACCATACAATTATGTGATCTAAATCAATATATCATTGTTCACCCAAACATCGACTCATACATCCGTATGACCCAAAACTTGAAATTTTACATTACAATCGATTACTTAACTTCAAACCCAAAATCTATTTTGAAATCTGAGGAATTTCAAAAAACATAACCCTAAGTTTCTATCCGTCAAATCCCAACCCCAATACTTCAACTCAACAT